CAAGGACTCCTCATTGTTTTTGCTGATACAGACTAACACGGCTACCCCTCTGATACTTCACACCTTCTTGTCAACTGTCTGATATGGGCCACTTTATTTTTTTTTCCTCCCTTGGTATCCTGCTGTTAAATGATTTGTCTCATTAGACTAACCTCACACTTGGTAAGGCAACTCGCATCCTTTCATGTATTTATACCTGCTTCTGTATTTTCCACTCCATGCATCTGATGAAGCGGGTTCTAGCCCATGAAAGCTTATGCCCAAATAAATTTGTTAGTCTCTAAGGTGCCACAAGGACTCCTCATTGTTTTTGCTGATACAGACTAACACGGCTACCCCTCTGATACTTCTACACCTTCTTGTCAACTGTCTGAAATGGGCCACTCTCATTATCACTTCAAAAGTTATTTTTCATCCCTTGGTATCCTGCTGTTAAATGATTTGTCTCATTAGACTAACCTCACACTTGGTAAGGCAACTCCCATCCTTTCATGTATTTATACCTGCTCCTGTATTTTCCACTCCATGCATCTGATGAAGTGGGTTCTAGCCCATGAAAGCTTATGCCCAAATAAATTTGTTAGTCTCTAAGGTGCCACAAGGACTCCTCATTGTTTTTGCTGATACAGACTAACACGGCTACCGCTCTGAAACCTTCTACTGGACTGACATTGTTTGACATTTCTAGTTGTAGAAGCTAACTGTATGCACATACAAGCTTGTCCAAAGCATGCAGCATGGCCCAGAGTACAGAGGTCAGCTCTGAGCTGGGAGTGCAGAGGACAAACACACATTACAAGATGAAATCAATCTCTCTTTCACAGCACAATAAAACTTTTCAAGGAGATGTACAATAATGGACAGACACTAAGATCAGAGTCAGAAAAGAGAGAACAGGCTCCTTCATCCTAGGGGGTGAGAGCAATGGCGTAGCCAGCTTCTAAGAGGAGAGGGAGCAAACATAAAAAGGTGCCCCCCATTGGGTCCTCCTCTGGCCATGCCCCCCTTGGCTCCTCCTCTGGCCGCACTGCCCCTTCCCCCCCCCATGGCTCCTCCGGCCCCGCCGTGCCACCCCTGCACCCCCTCTCGCTCCTCCGGCCGCTTTTGGAAAGGCGCCGCTTATGGAACATGTGCTGAGGGGAAGCGGCTGCTTCCCCTGCACCCCGCTAGCTACACTACTAGGTGAGAGCTGAAACTGACTCACGGTCCAGCATGCGCTGCCTAGGTCTGCAATTTTCACTCCCATTTTCATTATATTGCAATGATCCAATTGATTGGCAAGAATTCCTGTATGAAAGAAAAAAAAACAGAGCTTAAATTCACAATTTTTCTAGATACAAAAAAATATGTTGTTAAGAGACACTGGATTTATGGATTATTATAACAATCTGTAACCCACTAATCCCCCTTTTGTCCTATTACTACAGGGGTGTTATCCGACCACTTCACTTTGAATGATCCCTTAGAATATGTGCTAAGCACTTAAGCTAAACTATCTGATTGATCTTGTATTTAGCTGTGACACCCTGAGTACCTTTCCCAGACCTTAGGAAGAGCTCTTTGTAGCTCCAAAGCTTGTCTCTCTCACCAACAGAAGTTGGTCCAATACAAGATATTACCTCACCCCTCTTGTCTCCAAACTAACAGGTGTATCATTCAACACAGATCATTCATGTATGTTTTTACCTTTATCTAATGCCTTTCAGCCTAAAGGATCCTACAGTGCTTTACAGAGAGGTGATTCCTCTTTACCCACTGCTGAAACTTCTATGTGCTTATCCAGTTAGATTGGCAAGAGGATTTTAGAAGAACAGCCTGTAATTGTCTGAAGCGGAGTGTTGGGGTCAGCACCAACTCAGAGGGAAGAGTGCCCCCTATTCAGTCGCTCACCCCACGATGCATCACAGTTCCCTTAGCACCAAGCCGGGGCACTGGGGCCAACAGTGACTCAGGAAAGAGCACTTCCTACTGAGTCCCTCAGATCACAGCGATAGCACTGGCTTTTCTCCTCTGACAACATCAGCAAGAGGAAATGTGACCCCTGCAGGGTACTGACCTCTGGCAGACAGAATCTGCTCTGAAAATTGAAAGGTACCAGCTACCTTTTGATTTTTATCTTGGAAATAGGGTGACCAGATGTCCCGATTTTATAGGGACAGTCCCGATTTTTGGGTCTTTTTCTTATCTGTGTACAGTACTATAAAATCCCTCCTGGCCAGAGACTCCAAAATCCTTTTCCCTGTAAAGGGTTAAGAAGCTCAGGTAACCTGGCTGGCATCTGACCAAAGGACCAATAAGGGGACAAGATACTTTCAAATCTTGGGGGAGTGGGGGGAGGAAGGCTTTTGTTTGTGTTCTTTGTTTGGGAGTGCGTTCGCTCGTGGGACTGAGAGGGACCAGACATCAATCCAGGTTCTCCACATCTTTCTAAACAAGTGTCTCCTATTTCAAACTTGTAAGTAAATAGCCAGGCAAGGCGTGTTAGTTTTCCTTTGTTTTCTCAACTTTTAAACGTACCTTTTACTAGAGTGTTTATCTTTGTTTGTTGTACTTTGAACCTAAGACTAGAGGGGAGTCCTCTGAGCTCTTTAAGTTTGATTACCCTGTAAGGTTAATTTCCATACTGATTTTACAGAGATGATTTTTACCTTTTTCTTTAATTAAAAGCCTTCTTTTTAAGAACCTGATTGATTTTTCCTTGTTTTAGATCCCAGGGGGGTTGGAACTGTATTCACCAGGAGTTGGTGGGAGGAAGGAGGGGAATGGTTAATTTCTCCTTATTTTAAGATCCAAGGGGTTTGGATCTGTATTCACCAGGGAATTGGTGAAGGGTTCTCAAGGCTTCCCAGGGATGGGAATTCTTGGGATGGTGGCAGCGGACCAGAGCTAAGCTGGTAGTTAAGCTTAGAAGTTTTCATGCAGGCCCCTACATTTGTACCCTAAAGTTCAAAGTGGGGATACAGCCCTGACAGGCTCCTATTACCTCCCACCCCCGTCCCGATTTTTCACATTTGCTATCTGGTCACCCTACTTGGAAAAGACATCCCTTTCCCTCAAATATCTTCCAGATTATGTTACTTTACAATGAAGTGCTTGTCAATATATGTCATACACTATCATGCAAGCCTGATTCAAGCAAAAATATGTCAGTAATTTAGTGTCACCATTCACCCCGAAACATTAGGTCCATGAAACAGCAGCACCAAGAGACAAGCTCTGACATAAAATGTGTTACATCTCCCAAATCATTCCTAAAAGGTGAGGAATATCTCTGGTGCAAAGACTCAGAATACAAGTGCTGGTGTTGTGTTTAAATTACAGAAAGGAAATAGCGTTCTCAGAATAAGAACCTAAATAGAACAGAATAGAAGGGAGTAGTTTAACACACTGAGAACATGAACTAGATGTTCTCCTCTGAAGATTTCTTGTCAAATGTGACTGTCTGGACCACAAGTGAGGACTAGTTTGCAGTGATAGAGCTGTGTATATGTGTGGGCAGGACTAAAGGGCATCAGCAGATCTGTAGGAGGGAATGGGGGAAATGCTGCATGGCTGGATTGAGGGGCATCAACAGAGTCAGAATAGCAGGGGGAGCTGCGTGTCCATCTCATCATGATGTCCCCATGAATTGCATAGTTTTGAGGCTGCTGCTACCTTTCAGCAGATCAGATTTGTTTCCGTTCCTGTGCAAATACAATCCCCCTCTCTGATTCTGGTTGTCAGACATGGTTCTCAGATCTATGGTGATAAATTTAACTGGGCAAAGTGTGGCTGGATAGGAATTCCTACTTCGTAAATTTTGCTGGGACTAATGGAAAGCAACTGGGCCTTGCTGGTGCCCCAGTGAGGCAAGGATATTTATTGGGATAACTGTACTCTCTGAGACACGAGAGCCTGTCCCAGCAGCTCTTGATGCCAGGACATTGAGCTTTATGAACAGGAGTTTGATCTTGACTGTGGCTGTTAAACTGTCTTGGAGAAAACAGAAGTCACAAATGAGAATGTTTTATTTTAAAGTCACAGAAGCCAGTGCATAAAGCAAAAAACAAACAAACAAACAAACAAAAACCAAGGGAGGGTTTTATTTTCCAGTCTAGGCTCTTTATGAAGGCTGTTGGTCTGGCTGCACTGACTCCAGGCCGCACAGACTGCCCCAGGTGAAAGAGGACACAGGAAAGACATTAGCCCATTGAGTAACGTTGCATAGGTACTATCCACAACCAGAGGAAGCACTGAGATGAAGAGACCCTGAGAAGTCATTGCAATGCCTATATAAGCCTGAAGAAGAGCAGTAAACACAGGTCTCCTTTAAACATCAGATACTGGAGATGGGCCTTTGCATGGTTAAAACAAAGGACTTTGGGTTACAACTAGCATGAAAAGTGCTACACAAGGTGGAGCTGTATTGTACTGTAAGGCTCTGAGTAACTGCTCAGAAGCGATGGAAAGGCATCAGCAAATGCTCATAATTTTCCAGTTGTTCCTACATACAAACCCATCTGCAGCAGCATGTCTATACACAAACAGACCTAGACTGGGGTTTAAGTGGTTGGTATAGGAGACAGATGGGCTTACTCCTGGAAGCAAGAAATGGAAAAGGCCTACCAATACAGGGTCATCTAGGCCAATGGCCTCTCACCAGCCAATGCAGGAATTTATCCTACTGTATATTTACCCTTGGTATGAAGTCTCCATAGGCTGAGGTTGGGGTGCAGTAAGCAGGAATGTTCTTGTTCCTCGCAGGAATCCTAGCACCTGTGTGAGTCCCACTTAGAATCATAGAATATCAGGGGTGGAAGGGACCTCAGGAGGTCATCTAGTCCAACCCCCTGCTCAAAGCAGGACCAATTCCCAACTAAATCATCCCAGCCAGCGCTTTGTCAAGCCGGGCCTTAAAAATCTCCAAGGAAGGAGATTCCACCACCTCCCTAGGTAACCCATT